TTTGATGGACCTCCTAACTCCAGATTTCTCTGCCAAGGAATAGCTGCCAGCTGAATGATCAGATGGCTTGAAAGCCAGATTTACATTCAACTTTCCTTAGAATCTCAGTCGATACTTAAACTGAATGTCATGGGAAGGCTTGACAGTGCCAAACTCATAACTGCTTCCTTCGACAGAAGGTATTCCCTCTTCTGGATTAACCAATTCAATGTCAAAGTAGATGAGCATCAAGAAGACAAAGATCTTCATTCAGTTCTTGTGGGTTTTTTTGGGCTATATGGCCATGTTCTAGAGGCATTTCTCCTGACGTTTCGCCTGCATCTTCATTTCATTAACAGCCAAGAATCAGCCAGGACACTTGGAGTGTCCAGCCCCAAAGGGGAAAATGGAGTGCTTCAGGGTTTTCCCATCCTTAGATAATTCTTTCCTGGTGCCATTTGGGCTCACAAACCTGTCAAACTTGAAGGCATGAGGATCAGGGTGGATTTCTGATCCATGTGAATTGCAAGGAAGGGGAAAAGGAGCAGAGCCTCTCCTTTCCGCACCAGGTACTCTCTTCCATCTGCCATTCTAATATCTGTATGTTGAACCACAGTTTGGAACATAAATGGATTTGCTCTTAAGTGCAGTTTCCTGTATTGCACTATCCAGAAGCGGAGTCTTTATCATAACCCAAGCCACCTTGATGAAAGGGCTACCTGGCTTGACCTCCTCACCTGTCCCTTTTAATGTCCTGTCCATCCCTCACCACCTCCATTGCTTCTGGATGTTTCAAGAGATAAGTAGGAATCCAGAAAATGGCTGGACCAGTATTCACTTGAAACACCCAGAAAAACAGAAACATGACTTTTGTCCTCATGGTTTCATCCATTCTAATCTCAGTGAGTTGGCGATCCTGTTCAAATATCTAGCCGCTGATGTTCTCATTCAGGGCTATCTTTTGTACTGACAAAATGTCCCAGAAGATGTTCCTCAAATGGTCTGTTTCCTCCCTGCACTGGGGATCCAGCATGCCATTGACCATCCAGGGGGCCAAATGGTCGAATTTAAAGAACTTTTCAAACACCTAACCATAGGACATGGGTTCACTCTCTTTCTTATCTTCCATGTTATTCCTTATCTCATCACCAAACAAGGTCAGAAAAGCCGCTTGGAAGATGGTTCTGTAGCTGAAGTGAAAGATCCCATCTTGTTGCCAAGCTCTTTCCCAATTTCACAGATGTCTTCCATCGAGCATGATGTGCTGCAGGTTCTCCAACAACCTCTGATTCAGGATCTCCAAATTCTTATTTGGGAGATGCTTCATGTTCATGTGGGCAACCTTGTGCTGGCCTTTCGTTGGCCGGACCCCAAACAAGTTGAAAGCAGCCATGGAGGCAGACTTATTAAAATCGAGTTTCTCTTCCGATTCCTTCAACAGGGCTTTGTATATGAACGGATCGAGCACGAAATGGAGGTAGTTACCTCCCACCAGATATGTGAAAATATCCCCGTGTTTCTTCTGCATCTCTTCTAAAAAACTAAGGGGACCTTTCTTGAAGGTTATCCCATACCCTAGCCAGGGAATGAAGCCTTTGTCCAGTGGAGGTTCTTTGGGTCCTCTCTTGCGAAATAGATCCCGCCAAGGATGATGGCCAAGAGGGAGGCCAAGGAAGCACAAAGTACCGTCTCCCAGAAATTCATATCTGGAGTACTGGACAACAGGCAGCTCAAGGAAGACAGTCCTACAGATCAATTTATAAAGCATGGTAACAATGATTAGATCAAGGAGGGGTTTGAACACATGCCATTTCTGAGCTAGTAAAAGTTGTTGTGTGATTCCTTTGTTGTTAGATGTCAAGAACATGCATTTCGGTTATCAGGAATGTTATTAATACATATCTTGTACACCCCATTAATCGTTAGTCATTATACATCTAAAATGCCCATTAGATAATAATGCCTGGGAGGAGGACATGGTACTTAATAGGCTGGGCACAAGTGTAGCTCTGCCAGTTTAAAAGCAAGGAGTGGCGGAAGCTTTAGGCTGCCAAGTTAAAAGCATCTCATGGCAGGAGGACATGGTGCTTAATAGGTTGGGCACAAGTCTATTCATAAGTGTAGCTCTGCCAGTTTAGGAGCAAGGAGAGGCGGAAGTTTTAGGCTGCCAAGTTAAAAGCATCTCATGGCCTGAAACTTGGCAACGAACAAGAGAATATCATGTCGATAGGTCTCATTGATTTTGTTGTTATTATTGATACTTTCATGAGCCTGCTTCTGCTGCGAGAAATATAATTTTCTTGTACCTTGTTCACATAATGGTGTTTTCCTTGCAAACAAATCACATGTGAAATTTGCACGTAATTTGCGCTGAATTACGAAAATACTTATCAGTCTGGCATTCTTCATTTCAGTGTTTCTTAACATTTGAGAAGCGTGTATTTGGAGAACTTTTAAAACAATTTCAAGGATATTTCCACATCCTACACAGAAGTGAGTGAATGCTAGCATCCCCGATGCAACATGAGGTAGGTATATGAAAAATATATATGATGGTCACTAACTGGGACCTCATCTACTGTTTGAAGCTGCATGATATGGTCAGTGTAGACCCATACAATGTAGTTGTTGACCATTTCCACTACCTTGGCAGCCACCTCTCCACAAAAGTCAACATTGATACTGAAATATAACATCGCCTGAGCTTTGCGAGTGCAGCATTTTTCCAAATGAAGCAGAGAGTGTTTGAGGACCGGACATCCTGTAGGGATACCAAGGTGCTTGTTTATAAAGCTATTGTCCCCAATCCTGCTATATGCCTGCAAAACATGGACTGTCTACAGACATCACACTCAACTCCTGGAACAATTCCATCACGTTGCCTCCGAAAAATCCTGCAAATCTGGGAAAGACAGGTGGACAAATGTCAACATGCTAGAAGAAGCAAAGACCACCAGCACTGAAGCAATGGTCCTCCGCCATCAACTCCGCTGGACGGGCCACATTGTCCAAATGCCTGACCACCATCTCCCAAAGCAGTTGCTCTACTCCGAACTCAAGAACGGAAAACGGAATGTTGGAGGACAGGAAAAGAGATTTAAAGATGGGCTCAAAGCCAGCCTTTAAAACCGTGGCCCTTGAGCACTCCAGCTGGAAGCGAGCTGTGACCAGCAGTGCTGTAGAATTTGAATTTGTTTTATATTGTTTACCTTTTGCATTAACATTTGTATAATGGATATCTTTTGTGACTGCCCAATAAAGGATAGCTTGAACTGATCTGTTTACATCCTACTCTTGAACATACTGTGATGCTCTGAAATGTTCAAGCTTAGTTTTACCCACATACAGGTTACACCTCACTGTACCACACAAAGTGATTGGGATCTCATTTCTGCCTTCCATGCCCTCACAAGGGAGCCATCTTCAGGCCAGAGCTGGGAAAAGTTACTTTATTAGGTTGCAGAGAAAAACAAGGACATGATTTGAAGGCACACAGCAACAACAACACCTGAATAGCAAGTCAAGGTACTAGTGATACTTGAGTAGATAATGTGACCCATTATCTACTCAACATCTTAAAAGTTGTGAAATGTGAAATCTGATTATACACTATTATGATTGATATCATCGAATCCTGTATCCTAAAATTGTCCACACAAGCAGCTGAGAAGCCAACACCTTTTTGATGTTCCAATGTGCGCAAAATGTGCATCATGTGCAAAATTATTGCAAATATTGCACAACACTGTCTTCAGCTTACAGGTATAAGGTCTCTATGAAACATAAATTAATTTAATTCTACTTGTGACCCATCTCCAAAATATCTCATTAGACCAGTGGTTCTCAACCTTTTTAATGCCACGACCCCTTAATATAGTTCCTCATGTTGTGGTGACCCCCAACCATGACATTATTTTCGTTGCTACTCCATAACTAATTTTGCTACTGTTATGAATCATAATGTAAATATCTCATATGCAGGATGTATTTTCATTCACTGGACCAAATTTGGCACAAATACCCGATACGCCCATATTTGAATACTGGTGGGGTTGGGGGAGGTTGTTTTGTTATTTGGGAGTCATAGTTGCTGGGATTTATAGTCAACCTACAATCAAAGAGCATTCTGAATTCCACCAATGATGGAATTGAACCAAACTTGGCACACAGAACTCCCATAACCAACAGAAAATACTGGAAGGGTTTGGTGGGCATTGACCTTGAGTTTTGGAGTTGTAGTTCACCTACATCCAGAGAGCACTGTGGACTCAAACAATGATGGATCTAGACTAAACTTGGGAATACTCAATATGCCCAAATGTGGACACTGGTGGAGTTTGGGAAAAATAGACCGTGACATTTGGGAGTAGTAGTTGCTGGGATTTATAGTTCACCTACAATCAAGAGCATTCTGAACTCCCCCAACGATGGAATTGAACCAAACTTGACACACAAAACTCCCATGACCAACAGAAAATTCTGTGTCTTTGGCAACCTTTCTGACACCCCCTCGCAACACCCCCAGGGGTCCCAATCCCTAGGTCAAGAAAGGCTGCATTAAACATATATATGCATATATAGGCATTCCAAAATCCAAAGTATAAAACATAATAAAATTACAAATCCAAAACATTTCTGGACCCAGGATATGAGAAACTCAACCTATATTTCATTCATAAGTCCTGAAGGTTGATAGAAAGATAACTCATTTGGAGGGAGAAAAAGCAAAACATGACAAAATGAGAAATGCAATCTGAATATCAACAGAATTTTAAAAAGTATACACTTAGTCTCGTGTCATATATATATATATATATATACACACACACACACACACACTTAGCCTTGTGCCAACCTGTTTTAGTATTTCATTTGTAACTCCTGAAAGGTTTGGAGAAAAGAATAACAAAACACCACAAAATAATAAAAGCAGCATAAATGTCCCCAGATTTACACACACACACACACACAGAGAGTCTTTTCTTAAATAGAGTTAGGCACTGGGCACTACTTGTCAAGTTCGGTAACTTTGCAAAAAAAATCATGCCCAATGTTTGGAGATTCGTCTCCCAGGTTACTCCAGATACTATGCTTGTCCTTTGGCAATTCCACAGTTTTTTCTGGATTGTAGTGTTGTCAACAAATAAACTCCACACTTCAAGGCTATATGTTTCAATATGAGTTAATGGCCCACTCCCAACACCAGCCAAGCTATAACCACCTGCCAAGCTATAAGATGACTGTGCCAGGTTTACATTTAACTTCCCTTTAGAACCGTAGTCTATACTTAAACCGAATATCACATGAAGGCTTTAGCGTTCCAAACCCATAGCTGCTGTCTTTTACTGGAGGAATTTCCTCCTCAGGGTTCACTAATTCCATGTCAAAATAAGTGAGCATCAGGATGACAAAGATCTTCATTTCATTCACAGCAAAGTATCTCCCGGGACACATGGAGTGCCCAGCCCCAAAGGGCAAAATGGAGTGCCTCAGGGTTTTCCCATTCTTTGAGAATTCTTTTCTGGTGCCATCTGGGTTCACAAACCTGTCATACTTGAAGACATGAGGATCGGGGTAGATTTCTGGATCCATGTGAAGAGCAATGAAGGGGGAAAGAACCAGAGCATCTCCTTTCCGTAGGATGTACGTTTTTCCATTGGCCATCTTGACCTCTGTATCCTGCATCACGCCTCTGAACAGAAACGGACTTACTCTCAAGCGCAGACTTTCCTGTATGGCACTGTCCAGAAGAGGGGTCTTCATCATATCCAAAGTCACGTTGATGGAAGGGCTACCTGGCTTGACTTCCTGACCAACCTCTCTCAGTTTTCTGTCCACTTCATCTCTCACCGCCTTCATGGCTTCTGGATGTTTCAAGAGGAATGCAAGAATCCAGAAAACAGCTGGACCCGTATTGACTTGAGATACCCAGAGAAAAAGAAACATGATCCTTGTCCTTATGCCATCACTCTCTCCAATCTCAGCAAGGTTTTGATCCTGCTTCACAATCCAAGTGCTGATGTTCTCCTTCTCATATACCTTCTCTACGTTCAGAAGGTCCCAGAAGATGTTCCTCAGCCTTTCAGCCTTCTTTTTGCCGGAAGGGTCCAGCATCCCAAAGGCCATCTGGGGAACAAAACAGTCAAATTCTATAAACATTTCAAATATCTCTCCACATTGTTTGAGTTCCCTCTCCTTGATGTTTTCTTGGCTTTGCGGTTCGGTGCCAAACAATGTCAGGAAAGCCGCTTGGAAGATGGTTTTGAAGCTAAAGTGGAAGAGCGTATCCTCCTGCCAAGATCTTTCCCCTTCTTTGGGTTGCTGGCAGCGGAGCATCATGGTTTGCAACATCTCCATCAGCCTGTGATCCAGGGCTGCCAGTTCCTTACCCTTGAGATACTTGCTGTTCATTTTGGCAACTTTATCCAGAGCTTTACTGGCCTGGAAATCAAAAATATTTCCACTAATAATGGTTGCAAATGCATGAAAATCTAATTTGTTTTCAGATTCCCTTGTTAGAGGTCCATACGTACAAGGATCTAGCACAAAATGGAGGTAGTTGCCACCCACCAGACATGTGAAAATATCCCCATGTTTCTTCCGCATCGCTGTCAAAAATGCAAAAGGAGTTTTCTTGAAAGTTATCCCATGCCCTAGCCAGGGGATGAAGCCTTTGTCCAATGGAGGCTCTTTTGGTTTCCGCTTGCGAAATGCTCCTATTGCATAGAGTCCACCGAGGATGATGGCCAAGAGGGAGGCCAAGGAAGCACAAAGCACCGTCTCCCAGAAATTCATGATCACTGGGGTGCTGGACAACAGGCAGCTCAAGAAAGACAGCCCCACAGATCGACTTATAATGTAACAATGATTAGATCAAGGAGGGGTTTGAATTCATGCAATTTCTGGTTGTGACATTTTTCTTTTGTAGTCAGTTGCCAAGAACCTACTTCTCAGGAATATTATTATTTAGTTTCCTGTAAACACCATTCATTACTAGAGATTATACTTTTAAACTAACCACTATGCAGAAATCTCTGGGAGGAGTACAGGCTGTTAAATATGTAGGATGTAAGCCTATTCACCAAAGTACCAGATAAGTAGCAGGAAGACGAGATGGCAAACACAGAATTCCCTAATCTCAAAGCCGAACCCTGATTCTTAGGGTCTTGGCCTTCTTCTCCAATCCTTATGAAAGTGTTGAGTGATTTCAGTATCCGCTAAGATCATGGGTTCACAGCTATCCTCCACTAGAATCATAGAATCAAAGAGTTGGAAGAGACCTCATGACTCATCCAGTCCAACCCCATTCAGCCAAGAAGCAGGAATATTGCATTCAAATCACCCCTGACAGATGGCCATCCAGCCTCTGTTTAAAAGCTTCCAAAGAAGGAGCCTCTTTAATAGTCAAATCAGCACATAACTGGGTTGAAGGCAAAAGAACAGAGGTTTTATTCTTTTGGCCCTGAAAGGAGGTCGGAATAGAGTCTGCACTCTTAAAGATCTGCCTTAACACACTGGAACATACAGAGCATATTTATACATTTTGATAGCTATTCAGAACACTCATTCCAGCCTCTGAAAATTGGCACAGCTAGGATCCAGGCTCTTGTTGGCTGGGGATTCCCTCTGATATCATTGCTGGTTGGTGGTTCCCCATTGCGGGGAAAAACAAACAGCTGTTATTTGTTGGTCTATTTCAGATTCTGCCCCTGAAATGGGCACAACCCCTAAGAATATGGCTGGCAAACATGCAGATGAGCCCATGATTGGTTAAACAATTCAGGCGGAATGTGCACAAAGGAAAAGGTCTGGTAAAACATTAGATAAATTGTGAGAGACAAAACAGTACAATAGGTTAAGTTATGCATTCACCTTTATCAATAGACTTTAATGGGAAGCCAGAAAATATCAATGAGAAGGGCTCTTTTGTTAATGGGCTTAGCATGATCTTCAACTGTGATGACCTTATGCATCTAAAGCTCTCCCCTATCTGCCTCTGGTCACATTGTGATAGGATTAGGCAAATTGAGTTTGCCTGCACAGATGTTCCCAGGTTATCTTTTGTACTGGGATCAGATAAACCGAACATATATGCATATATTCCCAGGTTATAGGATAGAAGAGAGAAAAAGAGTTTGTAGCTAGTTTGTTTTTTCTAGACCGGCAACCCACTGACATTGCAAAATCTTGGAAGAAATATTCTAAAGGATTTGTGAATGAGTCCTTTCAGATTTATGAATGAATGAATCAGCGTAGACTTCTGGAGGTTTGTGAATGGAATTTTCCTAGGGACATGACTATTCTCAATTGATGGGGTGTTCAGCCATTTCCTCTTCAGTTGTCTTTCCTTAGGGCAATGTGTTTTGCTAAGAAGATTATGTAAATTTCCTTTTATGTGGGACTGGCCTACATTCCAGGATGGGCCAAATAAACAAGGAAAAAAGTGAGGCAGAATGAACAGCCCTCCTGACTGAAGCACTGCCAGTTCATAGTATCTCACATAATTTTCCGGACAATGTGGCCGGTCCAGTGAAGTTGATGGCGGGAGACCATTGCTTCAATGCTGGTGGTCTTTGCTTCTTCCAGCACGCTGACATTTATCTGCCTGTCTTCCCAGGAGATTTACAGGATTTTTCAGAGTCAGCGCTGATGGAATCATTCCAGGAGTTGCATGTGACGTCAGTAGACTGTCCACATCTCGCAGGCATATAGCAGGGTTGGGAGGACAATAGCTTTATAAACAAGCACCTTGGTCTCTCTACGGATGTCCCGGTCCTCAAACACTCTCTGCTTCATTCAGAAAAATGCTGCACTCACAGAGCTCAGGCTGTGTTGCATTTCAGTGTCTATGTTGACTGTTGTGGAGAGGTGGCTGCCAAGGTAGCGGAAATTATCAACATTTTCTAATGTTACAGCATTAAGCTATATTTCTGGCATTGGAGAGGGATTGGCTGGTGACTGCTGGAACAGCACTTCGGTTTTCTCAATGTTTAATGACAGGCCAAGCTGCTCTTATGCTTCTGCAAAGGTGTTTAGAGTGGCTTGTAGATCTTCTTCTGAATGCGCACAGATGACGTTGTCATCAGCATACTGGAGTTCCATAACAGATGTTGTTGTAACCTTGGTTTTGGCTTTCAGTCTGTTGAAGTTAAACAGCTTGCCATCTGTCTGATAGATGATTTCCACTCCGGTGGGAAGCTTCCCATCAACAAGATGAAGTATCATAGCAATGAAGGTGGAGAATAAAGTTGGGGCAATAACACATCCCTCTTTGACACCTGATTCCACCTTAAATGGGTCACTTTGGGAGCC